TGATAAAGATGAAGAAGAAGTTGTCTATGATAAAGGTGAAGAAGATGTTGTCTATGAAAAAGGTGAAGAGAATGTTGTCTATGGTAAAGGGGAAGAAGATGTTGTCAATGATAAAGGGGAAGAAGATGTTGTCTATGATAAAGGTGAAGAAGATGCTGTCTATGAAAAAGGTGAATAAGATGCTGTCTATGATAAAGGTTAAGAAAAGAAAGATGAAGCAGACTACAATGAATGTTGTTAATAGATAATGGAACAATGAAGAAGAAAAAAGCAGATGAGGAAGGAGGAAAACAGAAAAAGAGGAACATTTTCATCCTCCAGCCAACAGGTTGCATAATTTTCAATATTTTCCTGCTTCGTTCTTCAGATAAATGTACCTTGTAAAATTTCCCGACCAACGATGATTATGACAAATGAATTCGCTAATCATAGATTATAACAAGAAAGCCCGACTAGGCGCAGAATTAGGGGAAAGGAAACGGAAAAGGGGGGGGGGGGGGGGGGGGGGAGGAGGGTTTTTAGGTGAATGTTCTGTACTTTTTAGGCGTATAACGACCATCGGAAAAAACATATTGTCAGAAGTAATAAAGTAGCAACGAATTATTTTATAGTTGAGGGTCACCACAACAAGAGGAAATGTATTAAAGGGTTGCGGCGTCAGGAAGGTTGAGAACCACTGGTCTAGGGTGATCGGAGTAAAAGCGTTAAACATGGCCGACGGAACTGGAAGCTCAGTTCCCCCCCCCCCCTTTTCTTTCTCAACCAAACCTCTATAATTGTGTAAGAGGACTAAAAGGCTTCTTTACCCATGCACAAAACGTATTGGGCATATAGGGTAAGACCAATATTTTATAGACCAAACGGCATTGATTTTTAAGAGCATGCATCTTTCCCATTGCAACATACGCCTGTGAGACCTGGACACTTACTAAACAAGCGGAACAGCGCATAAATGCATTTGAATATAAATGTTACAGACAGGTTCTAAGAATATCTTGGGTAAAGAAAAGAACAAATGCATCCATACTTCAAGAGCTGAATATTGAAGAGGGTTGGCTAGTAAAGACAATAAAACAAAGAAAATTGAAATATTTTGGTCACTTGAAACGTCATGGAAGTCTAAAGAGAACAATAATGGAGGGGTATATGCCTGGGAAGAGAGGAAGAGGAAGGCCAAGGAGAAGATGGGTGCAGGATGTGGCAGATGATCTCCAGATGGGTGTATCAGACGCAGGACATCTTGCTCAGGATAGGAAGGTTTTCCGGAGGGTTGTTATGGCAGCGAGGTTCTGCGAGGGACATGCTACTGAATGAATGAATTAAACGGCATTGCCTGGGTCATCATCACGCCTTCCTTACTCCCCAGAAGTGCATCTGGTACCCACTCAAAGCAGGGTTGACGTGGGAGCCAAGATCATAAAAAAAAATAGACAGCTTCATCAGGACCCAAACCCACGACCTTCGATACCCAGGAGACCAACTATCCGCTACACCACGGCTACTCCAACCCTACAGACCTGCAGTATTCTAATTAGCTATGAGTTAACCTTGACCTTTCTAATATGTAGACCCATCGTCACAATAAAAACATGTGTTTCCTCTTCTTGGTCGCCCTTACAACGGCAGTGAACATGTTGTGTGTAGTTTACAGCTAGGCTGCAATATTTGCATCTTTTCATCCACAGTTTGATGGCCATAATGCAAAAGTGCAACCTATATCTTTTACTTTGACAGAGATGCACAGGGAAAGATGCTGCAGCTACGGAGTTTGAACTTAGCGCGACAAACAGGCGGTGGAGAGAGACGGAGCTATATGAAATAAAACCCGAACGAATGAGGTCGATCCACTTAACTTTAATTTAAACTGTAACTTTAACGATGACTCTAACTGTAACTTTAATGTATATATTTCCCAGAAATGAACAGTGTTCCCGACACACTGACACTGGCCAGGCTGGACAGGGAAAGTCAAGGTTGGTTCTTCGTTTCCGTGTTCACTAAATATAAATTTCCTCATCCGTCTGTGCAATTACGCTAGTTCGTATCGTTGGTGGCCAGCGACTCATTCCAGATGTATGCAGTTGTTATTCACACAGTCTGTCTAACATGTATCCGCACACACGAACCCACATCATTTGCCAGACGTCTCGCACATAATGATTTACCGTTCCCTGTAACCGAGAGAAGTCCTCTACGTTCACGCAGTTTACTCACATAGATCCCTCTTTCTCGTGAAACCCAACCTCTTTGTGACTCACGATATCTCGTGCTAGAACATTTCAATTGTTCAAACTACATTTGGCTGAAGGTTTCCTACTTGACCTTTTGTCTAAAAATTATGTTAACAGTCACTCATTAGCATCATTACAATCTATATGTCGGTGAGGTCTTTAGTTTAATAAGCTGTCAACAGATATAACACAGGAACTGTACGAGACTGGTCTAGAGGAAAATAAGAAGACCACACGAGAGGCGTGGAGAGGCGAAAATAGAAGATCATATATACAACTCGTCAAAAGTCAAGGGCACTTAGGAAAAACTTGGTTAAAAACCGTGAAGAAATCTGACATAAACGTAGGTAATACGGCACTGATTGAATACCCAAATGACATGTCACGTAAAGAAATAGAAACATTCAAACGCATGGTAGCTGTAAAGTGTACAAAGGTCACGCAATAAATATTGGACAACTAGACATTTTAGGATCGAGTATGACGCCGCTTGCCTCAAAACATCCAAGACAGCGTAGACGCATCAGCACACAAGAGTGCGAAGAGTATCCCAAGGAACAACTTGTCCTTCCTGAAGCAGAAATTCTGTTAGCTGTGCTACATCTGTTGGTTGCAGGTGTTTATTGACAGGCTTCGACCAAGGACATCCCAGAGGTGCTCAGTCGGAGAAAGGTCAGGTGAATGATCTGGTCACGCTATCCTGATGATCCCATGTTGCTGAATAAAGTCATGAACTTCCTCTAGTGGCCTATAGACATAACCGTTATCTCAAGGACAATCTAGTGAAGAGTCGGTTACGTCCTGTGTCTGAGTCCCACTTCGGCACGGTGTCTGGTCATATGCTGGACCTGTCCATATGGGATCCTGGGGAGCAGTCTGGAATTCCCGAACGCTACCTTCCTACGTTAAGCTTTCTATTGCACGAGCCTCCATATCATTTACGTCATCCACTACAAAAGTTGTGGCATAAAATACGTTAAAGAAACATGTCTTCGTCTGGCTGACATGTTCAGAAAACATCTTTTGGATTTGCAGAACGGTGCCCTAAAACCAGCATCGTTGCACTTTAATTACCAGGATCACCAAGGTGTACACGACATGGAGTTGGCATTTATTAAATCTAGCCATTAAAGCGATAGAGTCCGCAAGTCTCTTGAAAATTAATTAATTTGTTTCACGTTGGGCTCAATCACTCCCAGGGGACTAAACTGTCAACACATTTTCATCTAAAAAGTCTCTGGTTACGCATTCCACGCCTATTTATTCTAAGGCCCAACGTGTTCTCCTCATTCTACTGGCAAGATATCAACGTGGCTGCTTTTGGATACTCAGTTAAGTGATCTTTATGTATTCGTGTAGTTGTGTTTGATTTATGTACGTGCTGATAAGGGCTCTATAACCGCAACGTTCACGTTTTGTTTGTGTTTGTTATGTCGAAGCCCGTTGATCTACTTTTTGTTTGTTCGGTTTTATATCTTTTCATGAATAAAGTCTTTCTCCACACGAGCTCGATGGGCGTCAAGCGTTATCATCTTAGGGGATAGCATTTCCACACACTGGCTCTGAGCAGATTGAACAATTGGTCTAGGGATCTCGTTCTGGTATCGTCGCTCTGTCATGTTGTCTTCAATGATGTAGAGTGGGACCTGCCGTGTCTGTAGAAGCCTCCTCAGAAAATGACAGAACCCATACCATAACGGTCCGTCTCACGGATTGTGTCATCAGTAAATCGTTTGCCTGGTCGTCTCCATACGCGAATCCTGGCATTATTGAATGACATAGTAAAGTGTGGTTCATCCAACTTGTTGATTTGTCAATGGGATGTGCTCGCGACACAAGCAACGTGGGCTCTGCAATGAGCAGGAGTAAGAACGATCTGACTGCCTGACGCCGAACAGCAGTCCAAATTCATGTAAGAATCTGCCACTGGTGCCTTGACTGATTTTAACGTTAACAGTTTGTTTTAGCTGACATCTTAAAAAGAAACAAGTCACTGTTTAATGTCGCAGGGCTGATAAAAAGTACTTACTGGTCGTCATGTCTATCGGTGTATCTATGGCGACCTAGTCAGTGGTGATCCTCAACACGTCGTATGACCTGAAATCTCTCCAAAAATCTGGTTAGTAGAGTGTGACACTGCAAGCTGTCTAACAACTTCACGGCTAGATAAACAACTTTCAACCCACGCACTTACCCTCATTATATGTAAGTTGTCGCGACATCTTCTCGATAGCATGGTTTTCGCAAGTGATCAGACAATCCGAAGTCTGATGTTTGTTTAACAATTCAAAAGTGAAAAATGTTTACAAACAATCGCCATTGTCCGTGGAATGTAGGTTAGTACGAATACTTTACCTGTATGATTGTACATGCGAATGAAAAAAAAAAAAAATTTCAATGTGAATTTTTGATCAGCAAACCAAAGTGCATGCAATCACCTTTGTTGTCGATGATTTATTTTCATGCTTCACATGCATGGAGGACTGCCATAGGAAGATACTGCACCTATTTTTACCATTTTTATCAGTATATTGAAATTAATAGTGAGACCCTTGACTTTTGACGAGTAGTATATTAAATATAGAATATTAATGCAGTAAAGTAGTTGTGGCAGAAGCGGATGTGTTTTGTTTATGGAAGTTGTGGTTAGTGATTTATGTATCTGATTATGAAGTTACGTATAGCTGGTCTAGTCATCAGTAATATGTTCATACAATAATTATACATTAAAGATATCCATGACAAGATGTCCTGTATCTGTCTACCAAGTCCATGGGAGTGTGAGTACAGTTATGGGGGAGAGCGTGACCTTCACAGACATTACGACAGGTGTACGAAGAATCCAGGTCATAAGAACTTTATACCTGTAGACAAATTGAGTATTGAGGATCTCCCTGAAAATTACCGTGACAAAGAAATAATTGACTATATCCGGGCGGTGTCAGACGTGACAGTTCGTGTGACAATCAACTATGTCAGTGACAGGAGACCAGCAAATGTTCCTGGCAGTAGCAAGCCGTATCCAGGTTACGATGTCAGAGGTCAGCAGAGAATGACGGTTGGGACGGGATGGGTGCAGGACGTTGACGTGGACAATAGCTGTGTCGTAGGCCATTGTAAATGTAAGGAGTGTCGGATCGCATGTACACCGGAGATGAAATTTGCCAGAATTCGCTTAATTACAGCAGCCCACGTGGTCTTTGACGATTTTGAGGGAGAACACACCACGTGTCATCTGTTCTTTGATAGAGGAGGTACTCAGGAAACCTGTAGCGGTGTCGTCACGCTGACTGGCATGTCATGTGTACGCACCAGTGTCAGTGAGGACAAGTGTTACATGTATCATTATACCCATGACCTAGATCTGGCACGAAGACTTATCCAGACGGTGAACCAAATGTTTGATCGATGTGAGAATGTCGGCATCACACAGCAGTTGATCTGTAATTTCAAACAGCGACTCGGTGCTCAAGACAGACAACCCTTGTTGTTTATAGTGTCCCATCCCCACGGATGCAGCAAGCAGGTCAGCATAGGACACTTCACGAGTGTTCACGAGTTTATGAGTCACAGAGTTTCCTTCGGGTACAGCACAGCCACATGTCCTGGATCTAGTGGAGCTCATGTTGCATTTCCAGCGTGCAAGGTTTTAGGTTTCGATTCAAAACTATTCCCTGGGAATGGAATTCATCGTGGTGTGTCTAGCACGCACGGTGAGAACTATTGTGGTGGTAATGGAGGTCAGTACACCTTTTTGTTGTTACACTAAGGTCAGTATATTTACGTCTACAGATAAACTAATTAATGCACAAAGGTAAACTAACTGATGTGCACATGTAAACTACTGTGCACAGGTAAAATAACTGATGGGTGCATGCAAATTGAACTCCTCCCTCCACCCCCCCCCCTAAGAAGTTTAGAAAGTGTGCTTCTTCTTCGTCTCTTCCACCTTGTTCCTCATCGAAGTCTCGGGGGGAGATGTAATGTTCGTTGATGAGCTCTGTCAAGAGCAGTATTAAGACTGATGTTAATTTATGTAAGGCTGTTTTTAATGCCATCACTCCATATTTTCCGAGGTCTTCCACTCGCTGTATATCCGTTGTAACGATTAAGTGTGGCTCGCTGCGGCAGATAGTACCAGGGCATTCTTGTTAGTGTCCAAACCACTTTATTTGTTGTTCTTTGATGAACTGTAAGACTGGCTTTATTTCTAGCATTTGTCTGATTTCATGATTTCGTATTCTGTCTTTCCTTGAAACTCCTGCAGCTCTTCTAAAGGAAGTTAGCTACCAGGGTGAGGTACCTGTTCAAATATATCCACATTTGCTTCTGATGTATATTCAAGGGTTCCGGAATAGATCGAAGCTCGCATTGTCGGCACTTGATATTGAGGACGCTTACAACAGAGTTAGATATGGGATCCTAATGTCCACCCTTATGTAGAAGAGGGTTTGTCTTTGGCTATTTAACTGGTTGGCAGCTGTCATGTACGTCCATAAGGTTATCCTTTTTCTGGGTACATGTTTCTCAAAATGGGATGCACATTTTTATTTTTTATTTTAAAACATCATCCCGGCTGTTGTCTGGGCCCTTATATAACCCTACGGTTCAACGAGTTTCTGAAATCCTGGGAGGGGGGGGGGAGGGAGGGATCTCATCCGATGAGTGACACTTTGTGTCATCGCGTGTTAATCGCTCGTTGTGCAGTCCTGGTGGGGTTAAACACCAATCACTCTCAAGAGCCGTGCAGTATTGCCACTCGACTATACAGTAAATCGCAATTTCACCATTGCTTTTGAATATTTATAAGAGCAAGATTGCAGAACTTGAAGAACCTCGTGTGGGGAGTATACTGATAATTGCAAATTAAATTCTTGCATATATACAGGGAAGAAACAAACAACAAATAGCTCGAGAGCTACATCAACAGTGGACAAAGTCAATGACTGGTGTACGGAGATAAGAGATTAATTTAATCCGGAAAAGGCAACCATCCCTCGACCCAAGCAGAGACATGTTTTTGTTTTTATGTATTCATTTATACCACAAAATATAATTTTGTATATTACATTGTTTTCGTTCACCATCAGCATTAATATTATCCACTTGAACAAGGTTTATGGTCATTTAGGTCCTCCCGCCACCCGAAAATGTGTAAGCGGGCTGCCCCAACATGTTTTCCCCCCTCCCTGTCGGCTGGGCGTATCTCCTAGAAAAACGCCTAGATTACATAGTAAAGACGCTCGCAAATGCAATCCTATTTACTTAATCACCGACCTACTTGCATTACCTCTTATACATGTAAGCCTGAGAGATTAATAGGGTTTGCGTACAAATTAGACAAAACACAAATGGCATGCCTTTGTGAGAGGAGAACTTAACAAGCGGGTCATGTACAATCTATCACAGAAGTCCCACGGTCTAGACACTTCCTAATCCACTTATACACTTGTTGGACTGACTGACAGGTATGAATTATCATACTAGACATTCATTCACCAAAGAATTTCTAAATGTTTCACGGCTTCACTGAAAACTGATAACAAAACCTTGCTCCCCTTTGATTCGAGTAAACAGTGCGCCCAGCGCCCATAAATTGTCTTTTTGACATCACCTTGTTCCTCTGCACAGTGATATCACGTGCATAACGCCTTTGACATCCTTAACAAGAGTATTGCCAGGTCACAAGATGGTACCGTACCCCCCCCCCCCTCCCCAAACACACACACCTCTAAGGTTTTCGTTTTTAGCGCAATCATAAGTAAAGTAAAGGAGCCTTTCCACGCCTTAAGGCGTATAGGGCATATAGGGCTAGACCTATATTTTTATAGGCCAACGGCACAAGATGGGTGATGTGGTCAGCATCACGCCGGCCGCCTCTACTTCCCGGGATTGCACCCGGTACCCACTCAAGGCTGGGTCGACCTGGGAGCCAAGGTCATTTTTGAAGAAAAGTCCGTCTCCGCCAGGGAGCGAACCCACGACCTTCCGATCCGCGGCGCGCGTCTAGCCGCTCTGCCACGGCGACTCCCAGCGCAATCATATCATTAACAATTCACAGGACGCAAGTGGTTGGGCACAGTGTTGACGGCTCTGCCCTGTAAAGAAAAAACTACAACGTTACTAAAACTTCAAGAGGAAATAAGTGCTCTAAACGTCCGGCGGTCTTGGGACAGAGTCCCTCTGTCAGCATGAACAACATGGGTGAAAGCCGAAAGGAAGCCCGTGATGGGAAAACAAGTCTGCTGGATGTTAAAACCAAAATAAGAATTAGCTTTTGGAATATAAGAACAACATGGAGACGAACGATGGAAAGTGACCTGAGTGTGGCATTTTTGACATGGAAAACTGCATCGAAGATTGCACAGCACAGGAAAGCATGGAAAGTCCTCTCTGAAGCCTCATGTGCCATAACGAGAACTGATGATATTGATGATAAGTGGTAATGACAACTGCGATAATATAGATGGTAGTGAGGATATTGATGTTCAAACGTATTCACAGCCAAATATTTATGTATCTTATCCCTAGATATTCGATCACCCACTTTGGTAACTCTGGAAATACTGCAGCTGAATAAAGGTTGGTTATACATATGTTTTAAAATTATAGGATATTATTATCAAGATTAACTAAAGTGGACTGTATTCTGAACCTTTACAAAAGTGTCTCCCCGAATAGTCTCCACCCAGTCGCAGTGGCGGTGGAGTGGGGGGGGGGGGGGGGGAAGTGTCTCTCAGTGACCCTGAGAGCTATGCCGACGGTAGCCTAGCTTCCATCAGGGCCTCCCAAGCCGCACTCAAAGGGATGTCGGCAATGAGGATCCTTGTCATCACCAATACGGAGAAGAGTCTGCTTCTGTTCCATGGATTCGTGTTTTCTCCCATCGATTATGCTTTAGCAATTCTTTCAGTTAGCCATACTCAGACTGAAATACATGAGAAGGTGCAAAACGAAGCGATCGTATTATTCTAGGGTACACAAGAGACACCTCTTGTGTAGCGATGAGATATCTTCTTGACTTCTCTATCAGGGACTACAGGATCAATATTTGGAGAAAAGAGGGCAGCAGACTAAAAGAGGCAAATCACGGTTTGGTATGGCAGTGGATCAGTCGCACCTTCTCCTGTGTTACCACGCTTGACTTGAGTTGCCAGGAACAGAATCAAGTTGCTGTCAGTGACAAGTCAGATGAAGCAGACATGCTGATCCGTTGTACATAGACATTGAATGTGCATTTACAGCTCGCCCAGTGGGGAGAGCTATCCAAGAAGCCAGAGGTGCCCTCTCTCTGACTACCACCAGCAGCATGCCATTGGTGGTGATAGCGGTGTCACCACTTTCGTGTGGCCGAAATCGCAGGAATATTCCCTTATGTTTGTGCTGATACTGCGAGCATGATCCGGCGGGTCGAGACAGGCTTGTTATGCAGACAAAAGGACAGTGAGACTTTACGAAACTCTCCTGTGCGTGCAGTTAGCTTTGTATTTGTCACAGGACACGCAGGTGTTGCTGGTAATGGAGGATCTGATAGATTGCCAGGTTCTGCATTAGCACAGACTGCCGGCCCATGATCACACCAACATTGTTAATGCTGTTAGAGAGATAGGAAGATCCGACGGTTTTGGCAGTTTTGGCATAACCAAGCATGAGAGGCACACCGCTCGTGCATGAAGTCTTGTATAGGACATGTACTATTAACGACGCGTCACTGATGTAAATGTTGAAGCGGAATCCGAGCACCTATGGATATGTCCGGTGTGCTGTGAAGATAATCCAACTGTTAACTTCTAACTCAGAACAGGTCAAAGATTACAGAGCAAAGAGAGACAACTTGGTCCTTCGGGATGGGGATTGGAGCAATGGACCGAAACTCTCACCTTTATAACACACCGTTTAAAAAACAAGCATACACGTATCTGAACCTCGAATTTGTTTGCATCAGTGAATCTCGAAGGCTTGGAGTGGTACAAAGAAGAAGAAAAAAAAAGAAGAAAAAGAGAAAAGGAAGGAGGAGGAAGAAGAAGAAGAAGAAGAAGAAGAAGAAGAAGAAGAAGAAGAAGAAGGAGAAGAAGAAGAAGATGAAGAAGAAGAAGGAGGAGGAGGAAGAAGAAGAAGAGTAGAAGAAGAAGAAAAAGAAGAAGAAGAAGAAGAAGAGAAAAGAAGAAGAAGAAGAAAAAGAAGACGAAACAGAAGAAGAAGCAGAAGAAGAAGAAGAAAAAAGAAGAAGAAGAAGAAGAAGAAGAAGAGAAAAGAAGAAGAAGAAGAAAAAGAAGACGAAGCAGAAGAAGAAGCAGAAGAAGAAGAAGAAAAAAGAAGAAGAAGAAGAAGAAGAGAAAAGAAGAAGAAGAAGAAAAAGAAGACGAAGCAGAAGGAGAAGCAGAAAAAGAAGAAGTTTACTGCAACAACCAGACCTGTACAGTTTGTTGTGGTTGTTGTTGTTGCTGCTGCTGCTGCTGCTGGCATGTTATGAGAAGAAGTGGACTTGGTAACAACTTGAGGAACGATGGTAAGAGAGCATGAGGAAGGCAAAGAGATAAATACATGGATGGGGTTAGCCACATGGGTGGGACGATAGAAACACACTTACTGACCTGATCTTTGACTCAGGTGATCGTATGAGATGCAAAGCATGGCAGCCTACTCTTGTCCGCACGGTATATGATGATGATGATGTTGACTGCCTCAAAAACAATTCTTTGTTGCCTGCTTAAAAAAAAAAATGTACTGTTCGTATATGAAAGCATGTTACAATGATGATAATACTAC